TTCGAACTGGCATCTAAAGACATCGTGTATCATTTTTGGAAGAAGAATCCTCAGGAAGATTTTAGTGTTACCTAACCTACCTATGAATAATATGCTTTATGATGATACATGTACAGTCGCGGAATGAAAAGGTTCGTCAGTTTTCAAATTGATTCCTTCAACGAATCGCGAGCACATATTACCTTTTGAAACTATGTTACAGAATAATCTCGAGTTAGACAAAATAATCTTTAACTGTTAGTCAGTAAAGTTAAAAATTATTCAGATTAAAGTTGTTTGACATTTATCTTGTCAAGAAGATTATTATGATTGAACTAAAACCTTCTTGTTGGTTCAACCTGCCATTATTATTTCTATTCAATAAAAAAAAATACATTTTGTAACATTAAACTGATGGGACAGAAAAATAAGCAAAACCTTCTTTGTTAGCAAACGTCACATTTATTTAAATGTTAGCAGCACTGTTTCTTGCACTGTTATGTTGGCAGGTTTGACTCTTACAGTACCTAGTGCAAGCGAAAACCGACACTAAGGTGACGAACCTTTTCATTCCGCGACTGTACATACAATCAATTACCACCACTTTTGTATTCTACTTCGTAAAATTATAATTTGTACCTATTCTACCTAGGACTTCATAAAATTATAATGTACTTTTTATAGTTATAATACATAGTATAGTGCACAGCCTCAGAATATGTGATTTGCCAATTTGCCATGGATAAAATTCAAAATTATTTATAAGGTCCGGTCCGGTTAGCTTAAAAGTTTATAAGAATACGCCTTTCCGCGCACATCTCCCATGATTCGGCCAAATGCTGTGAGCTTTGCATGGCCATGGGATGGTGATGGGATGTCCCTCAACAGTTTTAAGATGACCAGTGTAGGAGTGTACCCTGCTTAGCAGACACCATTCCGCGCGCATCTCTCATGATTCGGCCAATAACATTGAAGTTCTATGGCCATGGGATGGTGGTGGGATGTCCCTTAGCAGTAGAAGACAAGATACAGGTTTAACAGACACTACTTACGAATAAACCAAAGCACACAGTTGAATAAAGTTGTTTTTACTGACTACTGCTATGGGACATGGACAAAGAGTAAAAATAATTTGTAGGGAGTCAAGAATTGTCGCGCGGTGGAGTGTACCCTGCTCAAGTAGACGAAATCCTTATCGACTTAAGAAATGGATACCAATAATAATAATACAAATTGACAAGAATATCCATATTAACTTGTGTGTTGAATTCTTTTGAAAATGCGAAGATTAAATTAAGCTGTTTATACTGACTACTGCTATGGGACATGGACAAAGAGTAAAAATAATTTGTAGGGAGTCAAGCATTGTCGCGCGGTGGAGTGTACCCTGCTTAAGCAGACGCAATTCCGCGTGCATCTCTCATGATTCGGCCAAATGCTGTGAGCTTTGCATGGCCATGGGAAGGTGATGGGATGTCCCTCAGCAGTTTTAAGACGACCAGTGTAGAAGTGTGCCCTGCTTAGCAGACACCATTCCGCGCGCATCTCCCATGATTCGGCCCATAACATTGAAGTTCAATGGCCATGGGATGGTGGTGGGATGTCCCTTAGCAGTAGAAAGAAGACAAGATTAAGTTTTAACAGACACTACTTACGAATATGCCAAAGCACACAGTTGATTAAAGTTGTTTATACTGACTACTGCTATGGGGCATGGACAAAGAGTAAAAATAATTTGTAGGGAGTCAAGAATTATTGTCGCGCGGCGGAGTGTACCCTGCTCAAGTAGACGAAATCCTTATGGACTTAAGAAATTGATACCAAAAATCTACTACAAAACTGGCAAGAATACCCCCCAACATACATGTTGAATTCCTCTGGAAATGCGAAAACAAAGAATAAGAATACATTCGGCAGATTAAAAACCTATTTAATAGCCGCATTGGGACATGGACAAAGAGCAAATAATTTGTGGGAGTCAAGCATTGTTGCACCGATTGGAGTGTAACCTGCTTAGGCAGATGAAATTCTGCGCGCATCTCCCATGATTCGGCAAAATGCTATGAGCTTTGCATGGCCATGGGATGGTGGTGGGATGTCCCTTAGCAGTAGAAGACAAGATAGAGGTTTAACAATCACTACTTACGAATATACTTAAGCACACAGTTGAATAAAGTTGTTTATACTGACTACTGCAATGGGACATGGACAAAAAGTATATAATTTGTAGGGAGTCAAGCATTGTCGCGCGGTGGAGTGAACTCTGCTCAAGCAGACAAAATTCTTCTCGACCTAAGAAATTGATACCAAAAATCTACTACAAAACTGGCAAGGATTCCCCCCAACATACATATTGAATTCCTCTGGAAATGCGAAAACAAAGAAAAAGAATACATTCGGCAGATCAAAAACCTATTTAATAGCCGCATTGGGACATGGACAAAGAGCAAATAATTTGTGGGAGTCAAGCATTGTTGCACGGATTGGAGTGTAACCTGCTCAAGCAGATGAAATTCTGCGCGCATCTCCCATGATTTTGCCAATAACATTGAAGTTCTATGGCCATGGGATGGTGGTGGGATGTCCCTTAGCAGTAAAAGACAAGATTGAGGTTTAACAGACACAACTTACGAATATGCCAAAGCACACAGTTGAATAATGTTGCTTATACTGACTACTGCAATGGGACATGGACAAAGAGTAAAAATAATTTGTAAGGAGTCAAAAATTGTCACGCGGTGGAGTGTAAGTGCAATTTCACGCGCATTTCCCATGATTTAGCCAACAACATGTAGCTTTCATGGCCATGGGAAGGTGATGGGATGTCCCTCAGCAGTTTTGAGTCCCTGGCCGTCTCCATCGACCAGTGGGTATACGCAAAGCATTTCCCGACGTAAAAAAAGGTATTTATACAAAATGAAATAAATAAAAATAATCAAGTGATATAAAACTACTCTGCCGTCACCACACGGCACAACCGTGCCGTGTGGTGACGGCAGAGTAGAATACATTTGTCACCAACCCCTACTCTTCCCGCGGGTGTCGTAAGAGGCGACTTAGGGTCCACACATCAAACAGAGAACGGGCAGCAGCGCTCTCTGAAAAACATCAATCTTTTAAACTGCGATCTCCAACCCGCCTGCCAAGCGTGGGGATTATGGCAAAACCCTCCACTATATTGGAGGAGGCTCATAGTCCAGCAGTGGACTGTAAAGGGCTGTTGATGATGATGATATAAAACTGCACTGTACCAATGCGATTTAACTCGAAAACAGCGCCATCTAGTTAGCCTATTTACTCGTAGCAGCCGACGTGTGAATACGATACGAATACTGGTCCATATTCTACGTCCACAACTTCAAGAAAGTTCAACAAACGCTGTTGGATGCAGAAGAACTAAAGGTGTTAGCTCGAAACCGAATACACGCCTCAGCATTGATCGACGTCATCTCGCAACACAACTGGTTTCAATGAGGTATTTCTACAATACGACGTTGTGTCGAACTTGAAATACATTGAGACCAATTGTGTCACGGTATTACGTCGGTCGCTGCTGGACCGTGTCGTCGGTTTCGAACTGGCATCTAAAGACATCGTGTATCATTTTTGGAAGAAGAATCCTCAGGAAGATTTTAGTGTACCTGCCTATGAATATGCTTTATGATGGTACATGTACCTACAATTTTGTATTCTAGTTCGTAAAATTATAATGTACTTTTTACAGTTAAAATAGTTTTAATAGTGCACAGCCTCAGAATATGTGATTTGCCATGGATAAAATTCAAAATTATTTATAAGGTGTCCGGTTAGCTTAAAAGTTTATAAGAATACGCCTTTCCGCGCACATCTCCCATGATTCGGCCAAATGCTGTGAGCTTTGCATGGCCATGGGATGGTGGCGGGATGTTCCTCAGCAGCTTTAAGACGACCAGTGTAGGGGTGTACCCTGCTTAGCAGACACCATTCCGCGCGCATCTCCCATGATTCGGCCCATAACATTGAGGTTCCATGGCCATGGGTGGTGGTGGGATGTCCCTTAGCAGTACAAAGAAGACAAGATTGAGTTTGCACAAGCACTACCTAAGAAGATGCCAGAATTGCACTATGAGCTTTGCATGGCCATGGGATGGTGGTGGGATGTCCCTTGGCAGTAGAAGACAAGATAGAGGTTTAACAGACACATCTTACGAATATGCCAAAACACACAGTTGAATAAAGTTGTTTATACTGACTACTGCAATGGGACATGGACAAAGTGTGAATAATATGCAGGGAGTCAAGAATTGTCGCGCGGTGAAGTGTACAACACTGCTCGAGCAGACGAAATCCTCGAGTTCTTGAGCCAAGAAATTGATAACAAAAATCTACTACAAACTGACAAGAATACCCATTCCCTATATTATCTTTTCTATTTTCTCTTTATTAGTTTGGAAATGCGACAGCACAAGACTCTCACACTGCCGATTAAAAATATGATATTTATTTGATGCAACGAGACGTCATGGACAAAGAGTAAATATTTTTTAGAGAGTTAAGCATTATCACGCGGTGTCGAGAAATTGTGAATACGGGGGGTTCAAGGCAATACTGATTCTTTCGACCAGCGCATGTACAACTTTAGGATTCAGGTCCACAACAGCAAGAAAGTTCAAGCAAAGCAGTTTGTTGGGTGCAGAAGAATGAAAGGTGCTAGTTCGAGGATTATGACACGACACAGCAGCGGGTGTCATTACACTTCGACACAACCAGTTCTGTGGAGGTGTTATGACATCTGTAGCTGTGTTGAGGCATCATCCTAAAACTGGTATCTAAACACATCGCATTCGCAAGCAAGTAAACACACACCATTGAAGCCTTTGTCCAACGTCTTTTGGTTCACAATTTACGCAAGCTCTTTTTTTGGTTGAGTATAAATCAAGCTTTGTGTTATTTTTTTTCTGTATATCATTATGTAAATCTTGTTACTTTTACTTTAAATTGTATTATTTAATAATATTATTGACAGCGTAATTCCTCCCCCCTTAGAACGGCAACTATTTTATCACGTTGAGTGAAAATGTTGCCGGGATCGCGTCATGATGTTGCTGATCTCCGGAAGGTGCTGGATGCTCTTCCTTCTTTTTAGTCTGGCTATCTTTCCTTTTCTTGTTGAAGCGCCGGTATGCGATGAAGATTGCAAGTATACTCGATGCAAGCAGTATCACATAAAATGGGATGGTTGTGTGATATACGTCGAGTGGGATGTCGGTGATATTGATAGGGGCTTCCATAGTGATCTTGTCCTGGAGTCTGTGTAGTCCTTGCAGGTCAATGGAGTTCAAGTTGATGTGGGATGCTATCCTGATTTGCTTCTCCGTGTCAGATGGGATTTCTGTCAGCTTCAGAGGTTGTCCTCTTATTTCGTCGTTGTCATTGGTGATGGTGAACTCTGTAGTTTTAAGATGACAGCCAACGGGAATCGTAATGAGGTAGCTTCCTTGAAGTGTGGTGTAGTCTCGTCTCCCGCAGAGGAGTTGGACTTTGCTGGGTTGTGGAAAAGATAAGACGTAGTGTTGGTCGTCCAACTTTTCCATGGCTTCTTTCTTCAGGGTGACCGTAGAGAATTCGCAATTTTCTTTCAGGATCTGGTTGACGATGAGCTCGTTGATGCAATCAGGTTTGCTGCGTAGCTGGTGGTGAGTAGCGTCTCCACAGAGATACCAGTTGCTGAGCTTCGGACATTCTGTCTCTATGTACTATCGGGGACTCGGACGCCTTGACACCTTAAGGGCCTAAATTGTTTGCACACACACGCTCGATTATGCTACGTCCCCGTTCATTCATGTTTCGGGTCTAAGCAGCGTCGGCGCACCACTGTAGATGTTTGCCCTAGCAAACCAAGCTCTATGTAAAGCGTTTAGAATTGAATATTGCTTATTACCAGCATCCGTAGCGCTCGTTTGGCAACGTCGCATTTTAGTCAATTTGAAACCCAATAAAGAATCGCTACAAAATATTATATGGGGCTTCGTGTAAAATTTGAACTAGCGATTGCCCGCTCGGGTCACAAAATTTATTGGTATCGCACATTGTAACTGTGCAATTTCCCGAGAAAAAAGTAGCCCTTTCTATAAATTATTGTTGATATTAAGAGTGTAAATAATTATCATGATATTAGTTTAGCTAGTTAAGGCAAGAAATACAAAATCATACAGTTACTTTCGAATTTTACTTATTTAATATGTATTTAATTTATTCGGAACTTATAATTTATAAACAATAATGTTATTGAATTAATTAGTAAAGAGTTAAGGAATATTTGTGGCTTAAATACTCGTACATAGTGCTGTTATTACTCGTACATAGTTTTTGCATGCCATAATATTGGTAAAATGTGAGTACTATAAATTATATTTTGTAATAATTGTAACACCTATGTCAACCACATTTTAAGCAAATAAATTTTATTATTATTATTATTCTCGGTTTACACTTTAGTGTCTCAGCTCTAGGCTGGTATCAAAGGAAAGCACGGGCCTAAGCCAAGTGCGATCCCGATAAAAAGGTTGCGTTTTGTTCTTGCGGTTGTGCTGATGTCGGCTGGCTGTGATCTTCCTGGACTTGTAAAAATTTTCTTACTATCCTACACGTGTTAAGAATAGCTGCTTTCTGGAGTGATATGTAAGTAAGTGGTGGCAGGTTGAGGGTATTTAATGACTGGTGTAGCTGTTTTGGTATAACGCCTGTTGTTGAAAGTACGATGGGGACAATGTTAACCTGATTAAGACGCCACATCCGCCTGATTTCATCTTTTAAGTCTGTGTATTTAGACAGTTTTTCTGATATAGTATTTTGTAAGTTGTGGGTGTTGGGTATAGCTATATCTATTATAGTTGCTGTGTGGTTATTTTTATCTTGAAGAGTGATGTCTGGTCTATTAAAATGTGTTGTTCGGTCTGTGAGTATAGCGCGGTCGAAGTAGAGTCTATATTGGCTGTTTTCAAGGACGGGTTCGGGCACATACTTGTAATATGGTGTAGGTTTATCTGGGATCAGTTTGTATTTGTGAGCAAGTTTTTGATGTATGATATTGGCGACTTGATCATGTCGGTGTTTGTAGTCGGTCTGTACTATTGCTTTGCATGCGCCTGTTACGTGTTGGATAGTTTCTGAGCTGCTGTTGCATTTTCTGCATAAGTCTGTGGGCAGATTTGGGATCTTCATTATATGCTTCTGGTAGTTGCGGGTCTCGATGATTTGATCCTGTATTGCAATCATGAACCCTTCAGTCTCAGGGAAGAGTTTCCCACGACTAAGCCAGGCGTTCGACGCTACCTTGTCGACATTGGGTTGGCACAAGTCATGGCGATGTCTTCCGTGGAGAGATTTTCGGGTCCATTCATTAATTTTTATCTGCGCAGTGGTTTCGAGTTCATTTGTTTGGGTTGTTGCATCTTGCAGATTCAAAGGGGTCAACTTACTATCAGCTTGAACAGTTGCTTGGTGAATAACAGATGTTGCGGCCTTTTGATGAAAGTAAGAACGGAGTGTTGCGATTTGTTTATTATGGAGGTTTTGGATATCGATAATTCCTCTACCTCCTTCTTGACGCGGTAAGGTTTGTCTTTGAACACAAGCTCGCGGGTGGTGTTTCCTGTGCTTTGTGAGTGTCCTGTTTATTGTTCTTTGCATTTTGATGAGTTCTGTTTTTGACCACTTAATGATGCCGAATGAGTATGTTAGAATTGGTACAGCGAATGAGTTGATTGCCTTGGTGATGTTTCGGGAATAAAGTTGTGTTTTCATTATGGAATTGAGTCTGTGTTGAAATTGCTGTAGAAGTTTAGCCTTTGTTTCTTTGTATTGTATTAGCTTAGCCTGATTATATCCGAGGTATTTGTACACTTCATTCTCTTCCAGTGAGTTAATTCGCTGTCCCGATTCCATCTGGTAAGTATGTCGTTGATTTTGTCCAGCCTTGATGGATATAAAAAAGTGCACAGAGTATAAAACTCACTTGGCCATTAAGTTAATGATTAATATAAAAAATAGGGTTGTCCCACAGTTAGAATAGAACAGCCACACAAAACATCGTAAATTCTGAGTTAAAAAATGTGGAAATTAAATAATAAACGATAAATAAAAGGAACATTATATTATTACTTATTCTTCTGTCATGTGAGGAGGAATCCCGTGAAGTCTAACCCTGTTATTAGTTTTTATTTAGGAACAAACAAAAAAAATACGATACCACCTCTCTAACATTAAAAAAGGGTTCCGTAGCCAAATGGCAAAAAACGGAAACTAAAAACTAAAAAAAAATCGCATTTTTTACAATCCAAAATTTTAAAAAACCCAACTACGACAAAAAACGACGCTAAAAAAGTATAAAACAAGATTTTCAGAATACTGAACTGAATAAAGTTGCTAATGTAGNAGCCTTGATGGAGTTAATTTTGCATTTGTCGATCCCAAAGTCCATACAAATGTCCTTAGAGTATTGTTCTGTGAAATTAGCTAATTGGTATAAACTATCTTGTGATTGGGCATATAATTTTATGTCATCCATATACATGAGATGGTTGATTTTCATGGTTGCTGGTCTGCTTGTGCTAATGTCTGTGTATTTTAAATCGAAGCCTGTGTTTGAAGAAATTAATAGGTTAGATAATGGGTTCAAGGCTAGACAGAACCAGAGGGGGCTTAATGTATCTCCCTGAAAGATTCCGCGTCTGATGTGGATAGGATCGGTTTCAGTGTGGGCTATTTTAAGGCGCGTGGTCCATTTTTGCATTACGGTTTGTAAGAAGTTCGTCAGGGTAGGGTGGATTTTATAGATACGTAAGACTTCTATAAGCCACGTATGGGGTACAGAATCATATGCTTTTCTATAGTCTATGTACATCGAGTGGAGTTCCCTTTTTTGTTTTTGCACCTGTTGTAATATAACTGAATCAATTATTAACTGTTCTTTGCAGCCCTGGCTAAACTTCCTACAACCTTTTTGCTGTTCGGCAAGAATTTGGTTTTTATCAATGTGGTCATACATCATGTAAGTTAAACAAGAACTTAAAATTTTGTAGATAGTTTGGAGACATGTAATGGGTCTGTATTTAGCTGGATTGGTAGGATCAGTGAAGTCTTTGGGAATCATGTAGGTAGTTCCTATCATAACATAGTCGGGTATTGTTTGAGGGTCTTGGATGAATTGGTTTAGGTGGTTATGTAGGAAAGGATGCGTGTAAGTAAGTTTTTTGTACCAGAAGTTATGTATTTTATCAGAACCTGGAGCTTTCCAATTGTGGAGTTTTCTTATTACATCCTGAAAGGTATCTATTGGGATGTATTCAAATGACATGGGTTGTATGTGTTCGTTTCTTTCATACTCAGTTCCTATCCATTCTGCTTTGTCATTGTGATCTTTAGGTTCCTCCCATAACTCAGCCCAAAAACTTCGTAAAGTGTCAGGTTCAGGAGTATTAACACGGTTAGCGCGTCCGTTATTCGATGAGTTGTTGGTTGTAGAAGTCCTAAGAGTGTGATAGAAAGTCTTCTCGTTATGATTAAATTGTGTGTTTTGTGTCTTGCGGAGTGTGCACGCTTTGTATCTTTTGATCCTACTAGTTATAACCGTTAGTTTTTGTTTAAGAGTGTCTATGAATTGTGAGATTTGCGTGTTTGGTTCTTCGTGTACTGAATGCATTCTGTATTGGTCCATTATTTTCTTTACTTCGTCTGTCAGTATGGGGTTTCTGTTTCCGTTGTTAAATTGAGTCATTTTACCTATTTTAGCTCTAAGATCTTCTATTTTTCTTTCCAATCGAATTTCCCATTTAGGCTTTCTGGCTGTTCTATTTACTCCTTCTGTAGTTGTATCCATTTTTGCTCCGTTGCATTTCGCTGCTGTCCACGCTGGGCAGTATATTATTGTTTGAAATGTTTTAAAATCTGTTTCAGTATTTAAATAGTTTGGGAGGATCTTGTTATTGATGTAGTATATTATAGCAGATAACTTTTTCGATGTTTTTTGTTTACGGATGAAAGGTCTATTAGTGGGTTCAGTATCAATAAAGGTTAGAAATGTTTCTTCAAATGTCTTGGTAATCTCACAATTAGCATCTGTACCTAAGTTTTCAGTGTGGACAGTTCTGGTTTGTTGTGGGTCTTCCTCTAGTGCGCCGGTAGTTGTCCGCAGCGTGCTGTTTAGTTCAGTGTCTGTTTGGAAATTATCATCTGTAATAATATCACTAGAAAGTATGTTTGTTTGTGTAGAATAATTTGGTGTTAAGGGTTCTATGCTGGATAGTTGGAAACAGTTTTCATTGGTGTTATGTTCAGTTATTCCATTTTTTATTTCCAATAGTTTTCCAGGGTCTAGCAATCTATTTATTAACTATCGATCGTCTTTGATCAGAAAGTCTTTGTGCTGTAATGTGCGCGAGATTTGGGTGTGTGTCGATGAATTTCTTATGTAACTTATTTCGGTATGCAGACATGTTGGTTTCTGATTCAGTAACTATATAGTAACATCTCATCAAACTTTCGTTTAATTCGTCGGACCATCTCATTATTATTAGACGTAATTTATGTCACTATTTTTGTACTTTCAGTTGGTAGGTAAGTAGGTATGTTTCATAATTATAATGTTTTTGTAACCAGTTTATACGGTCCACAACTTCTGAATGGGGCGATCTGCCAATATAGGGACACTGAAAAAAATGATTGCGCGGTGAAAATGAAATTATAAGACG